ATGGGCCACCGTAGTCCCAAGAGATTTTCGTCTTCTCAATTTCTCAAGATAAGCGTCCCAGGGTGTTTTGTTTACTAGAAGGAAATGTTCTTTGACAGCATTTCTTGAATTAATTTCCATTGCACAAAAAAGCAGCAAATACTGTTACCGAAGCACAGAATTGGCATGAATTATTTCCCCGGCCATTCACTCAAACTGCAAATCAAGACTTTTACCGCATCCATAGTTGTTGACAGCCGATGGATGATGATGTATTGTGACGTATTTTGACCTCCAGATCCTGACCTTGCATTCTTGCCACATTTACTGCCCTTTCATACCCGTTCAATTTCCTTTCATTATTTCATCCAGATTCCATGACATTTTATATTTAAAACCAACCTTTATTTCACAGTCACTCTAGTTTTCACTTTTCTAAAATTATCTTACTGATCAAAAGACTTTCACTCCCATCATGCAATCTCCCACAGTACTTCCGCAGACACAGCGGCGATCGCCAACATATCTACAAATAACCTCGCTCTCAGGAGCTGAGGAATAAAGATACTTAAGACATTACACATAAGGTAAAACAAATCATGTGACAATATAATGATAATAACGGTAATAAATCCTAGCTTAACAGTTGAACAGAACGATCATATAGTCAGTCGGGTGACGCCGAGTGTCACGCACTGTGTTGCAAAATGGCCGTGTGGTTGAAACGAACTGAATAAAATCGGGTCATGGCGTGACGGATGAGGAAGACATCATTAAACACTCTCAAAATCACAATAAAACGGGGAAGTGGTTGCATATTACGGCGTAGCCAACATGGGAAATAAAAAAACGGCCAATACAAACGACACGGGTTCGAATCACACTAGATACACACTCACCAGAACCGAAGCAATCAGAAACCAGCAATCGTTTTGGCTTTTCCGTTCAATTCATCGGAACACTGGAGTAGTTAGAAAAATGAACACCACTTAACGACCAACGTCGTGGCGTGGTACACAAGCTTGCCATCAAAATAAAACAAAATTAGCTTGAAAAGACAGTGGGTTCGAGTCCCGCTCAACACTACCGTAAAAACGTAAATCAAATACACTGAAATCTCTCAAACCGTAAACAAAGAACGTCGCGAAAAATAATAAATCTCACAAAACTCCACCATACAGAACTGAATGAATAAATAATAAAATAACTTACGTCTTAAACTGGACGACGCGCAATTTGTTCAACAGTTTCCTGATTGTGACAAGAGATAAACAAGACCCAAGTCAAGGTAAGTTTTGTTAAAGTGTCGATGGCGTTCCCTATATTACGAAAACAATTCAGACAACAGACGAATATCTTCTGTGGTGTTGTGGAATTTATACTGTGTCTGCAGAATTGTTGATTGAGGGTTCGAAGGCAGCAGTTAACATTTTGTTAGAAAGTTTCACAATTAAATCAAATATCCAATGATACCAGTATATTCATTTCATTATTTTAACAACTTGCAATGGTGGAAGTTGATCAAACACGAGTTCTTACATCTAAATAAGTATCAAATATTTGTCGACACATTTATTCTCTCAATTTAACAACCTTGTAGATGTGGAAATTAATTAAACAGGTATTTACTCACAAATATAATGGTCAATATTTGCCATACATTCATTCTGTCAATTTAAGAACTTGTAATTGTTGGAATTAATCAAATGAGAGTTGTCTACACCAAAATAAGTTTCAAATACTTGTCCATACATTTATTCTCTCAATTTAACAACTTGTAATGGTGTAAAATTATTAAATGAGAGTTGTCTACACCAAATAAGTCTCAAATATTT